CGCAGGGAGACCCGGGGCGCAGGGAGACCCGGGGCGCAGGGAGACGGGGGAGAGCCGGGCTCGGTGCCCGCGCGGCAAGGGGCAGCGCGGCGGGTACTCACACCACGGAGCAGGCGTAGCAGCCCTTCTGGCTGCTCTCGCGGATGAGGAAAGTGCCGTCGCGCTTGCCGCACAGCATCTCCTCCGCCTGCAGCCGGTTGATCTTGCCCACGTACCACGTCCGCTCCTCGTGGTGCGGCAGCTCCTCCTCGTCGTCCATCATGGAGTATTGGCTGCAAGGGAGCCCACGCGGGGGTCAGGCCCCTCCGCTCGGATCCGTGGCCCCCCTTTCTCCACCTCCCACCACCGGCTGCCGTCGGCCCTTCCAGCACGGGAAGCTCCCGGGCAGGGAGCCGGCGCGTGCCCGAGGCTCCGGAGCAGGCAGGACCAGGGCGCTCCAGCCCACATTCCAGGGCAGGGACACTCACTCCTCCGTCTCATTCTTGATGCCCAGCCACTCGTTGATTTTCTTCTGTCGGGCTCCCTTCTGCGTCAGCCACCTGGGGAAGGAGAGGCCAAGATGAGGGCTGCAGGGCTTGTCCCCATGCGGAGTGCCCGGCGGGTCCTCGTGGAGCCACCAGGTCACCCCAGGGCAGAGCTGGGGGACACGGGGCCCTTGTGCTGGGGCAGCCCCTACGTACACCAAGTACTGGTCCCGCAGCTTGCGCAGCTGCATGAGGTCGGGCTTGAGGCTGTTCATGCGCTTGTCGATCTCGCGGTTCTCCGAGGCCTGTTTCTTCAGGTCCTGCTCCAGCTTCATCTTGCTGTCGTGGATCTCTGTGATGCGAGACTTGAGCTTCTCCGAGTTCATGAGGATGCTGCGAGAAGGGCAGGGTCAGGCTGCCCATTCCAGCCCGGAGAACCGCGGCACGGACAGGGATGGCACCCGTCCCAGCCCTGCTCCGTGCCCGGATAACCCCTCTGTGTCCTGGGGTTCCCATTGCAGCCGCCCTCACCGTTGCACCTCCTTCTCGTTGCCCTCGCGCCGGAAGCGCTCGATGTACTCCTTGCTGCACTTCTCCTGCGTCTGGCACTGCTCCTCAAAGATCTTGATGGTCTCGTTGAAGGCCTCGATCGCCGTCCTCTTCATCTGCAGCTCCTGCGGAGAAGGGTGGGGAGGGCTGAGGAAAGAGCAGCACTTGGGAAGGTTGCATCCCGGTCTCTCGTATCTCCTTCCCAATGCAGCTCAGTCCTCACTGCAGCCTGAACACATCCCGTTTCAAAGCCCATTCTCTCCCCAAGTCCAAGCCCAAAGGGGTCGAGGTTTCCCCGCTCCATGCTCATGTGCCCAGCCCGGCTGCAGGAGCGGGCACTGCGGAGCAGCCCGGTGTACCTGGGACGTGCGGGTGTACTCCTCGTAGAGCAGGTCGTACTCCCAGCTCTTGTCCTGGTACTGCTGGTGATAGACCTTCAGCTGCTCCCCCACGGCCTCCACGCTGTCCTCTTTGACCACCTGGTCCTGCCACGCACAAGAGCCTCCGTCAGGACCTGCCCCTGCCAGCCCCAGCAGCCCTGCCTGGCACTTGTCACCCCATAAGGCAACGTCCTGGCACGGGGCAAGTGCTGCTGCCAGACAAAGCGTGCCCCAATGTGCCACAGGGGCGGCTGTGGAGGATCAGATGTCCTCTACAGCCAAACGCTGGCCCCGCAGCACCGCTCTCACCTGCTGGTACTTGGAGATGGGGTAGAGCAGCCTGGTGTCCAGCTTGGCGTTGTACTGGGCGAGCGACTCGTGCCGGTAGTGAGTGATGAGCTCCACCACGGAGCCGAAAGTCAGCGGCTCCGAGAAGCCGTACTTCCCTTCCCGGTGGAAGATCTTGATGAGCTTGTTATTGCCTCCCTTCCTGCAGAGCGGGGTGCACGGAGCCCTGAGCACCGCCCCGGCACCCACAGGTGCCCCGGGGCTCCGGGCAGCCCCAGGCCAGTGTCCCCAGCACAGGGACAGCAGGGCCCTACCTGAGCGTGAGCGTGTACTCCCCTTGGATCTTGCTGGAGGCATCGCGCACCAGGAAGGTGCCGTCCGGCGTGTCCCGCAGCTTCTCGTTCACCTCCTCCCTGCGAGGGACAATTGGGACACGTGGCCAGCCCTGTCAGGGAGCCTAGCCAAAAAATACACCCGACCCAGTCTAATGGGACAGACAGGGCGCTCTGGACACGAGGGGGCAGCACCCACCGCTGCGCAGGGCCACGCAGGCGTGCCGGGGCTGCGCGTGCTCCCAAGCCACCCTCTTACCGGGAGATGTCACCCCAGTACCACTCGGCGTCCTGCAAGGACACGCTGCTCCCGTTGGCCAGGCTGGCCGCGCTCGGCTTTGGCTTGGGCGGTTTCGGAGGCAGAGCTGAAAGAGGGGCAGGAATTCAGGGGGGCTGGCGCAGGTCCTGGCTGGCGACCCCGCCAAGGGCAGGGGGGCCACCCCCAAGGACCCCCGTCCCTCGGGGCAGCAGGTGCCAGTGACCAGGCCTCTGGAAACACCCTCGGCACCGCACGGAGCACAAACGCCGCGGCCCCTGAGAACAGGGCCTCTCCACCCCTGGTCCAGTACCTGGAGGCAACTGCTCCTGCTCCAACTCCTTGGTCTGCAGGAGCGTTTCCAGGAAGAGCACAGGGAAGTCAGGGCTCAGCTCGGGGCTGCAGGGAGATGGAAGACAGGAAGAGGAGCAGTTGTGGGCAAGATCCTGGCACCATTCCCATGCCCCCGGGCAAGGGGCAGCGGGGGATGGCCAGTTCAGCCCAGCACAGTGCACACTGATGCAGGAGCGGGAGCTCTGCCCTGGCTCCGTGCTCCAAATTCTGCCCGTGGTTCAATCCCACGCACAGGGCAGGGCTCCCGGGCAGAGCCGCTCCGATGGGCTGTGGCTCCGGCGCGCGCTGGGAGCCGAGGCCTCCCGTACCTGGGGCCAGGCAGCCGGAGGAGAAGCGGGCCGAAAATCTCAGCCAGGGCCCGAGGGTGGAGGCCGTTGCTCTCTGCCTGCTGTGACACCTTCCCCAGGTGCCGCAGCAGGAACTGCAGGGTGAGCGCGTTCTGCAGCGGCACCGCGGGGCACTCCAGGGCCAGCAGCAGCTGCTTCCGACAGTTCTCCGCCTGCGGGATCTCTGGGGAGATGCGAGAGCCGGCGGGAGGGTTGGTCAGGGCCGGCCGGGTTCTGGGGTCTATTCTGACACCCCGCGGGCGGCCAGGGGAGGCCCTTACCCTGCAGGATGCGCAGGAGGTCTCCGTGCGCGGCCGCGGGCACCACGGGGGACGGCAGGTCCTGCAGGTAGCCCCGCAGCGCCTCGCTCAGCGCGTGCACGTCGAAGGGCTCCAGGTCGCCCAGGCTCCAATCTGCGGGACGGAGAATTCCCGCGGGTGAGGGCAGGGCGCCGGGCACGGTGCTGACGTGCGACCCGGACGCCATCCCAGACGCGTCCCCCGTGCAAGCAGCCCTGGGGAGAGCTTTGTTCCCGCTGCTCTTAGAGACAAAGCGGAGCGGGCAGCAGAGCCGGAGCTGGCGGCGCCGTTTAGCTCCAGTTTGGGAAGAGCAGCCCCGGAGCGGGACAAGCCGGTGCGGCGCCAGATGAGGCCCAAGGGTAGCCGAGAACTAGGTGGCTCTTGAGGCTCCGGAGAGGCCAGTGCCGCAGACACAGCCAGGGCTGCACAACCCTGCCCATCAGCAGCCACGAGGTCCCAGTGGCTCCTGGAGCAGAGCCCCAGCTCCCATCCCCTCCAGGATGCAGCAGGATAGGATGGGAAGGCCCCTCTGCGGAGCCGGTGCCATGGGAGTTGGGCCCAGGCAGGGACAGGGACGAGCACGCTGTGGATCCCATTCCTGCTGGCGCCGGCACCTCCAGGAGAGCCCCTCCTATTCCCGCCGGAACGAGCTGCTTCCTACCGTTTTTCAGAGCCTGCCGCAGCTCGGAGCCAGCCGTCCTGTAGAGCATCTCACTGTCTAACCCTGTGGGAGCGACGGCGCTGCCGTGAGCCGGCACCGCGGGGACAAGCGGAGCCACCGCGCCGAGCGGCAGCCCCTGGCACCCGCTGCAGACCCAGGCCCGGCCCGGTGCCCGAGAGCAGCTGCAGGGCTCCCCTGGGCAGGGGAGGTTTTGGGGGTGCCCCCGTTGTTGCCCAGCGCCCCCTCCCTTACCTTTCCTCTCGATGGCTTCCACCAGCTTCAGCAGCAACGGCGGAGCGACGTCCGGAGGGCCGAACTGCTCCTGCAGCTCCAGGAGAGGAGCTCCTGGGAAAGAGGAGGGAGAGGAGGGGTGAGAGGCAGCGTGGGGAGAGGGCGAGCGGCAGCACCCCAGCAGGGACAGCACTGGGGTCACAGGGGGAGCCCGGAACGCCGGGATGAGCCAAGCCGGGCGCTCGCCTGCCGGGGCTCCCGGTGGCTGTGGGATGGGATGGGGGCTGCCTGCCCATCCGCAGGGATTTGCTGGGTTATCCTGCACATGCCAGGGCGGGAAGTGCAGGGCGGTTCGCAGGGAACGCGGCGCCAGGCCCTGCTCGCTGCTCCTGCTGCATTCCCGGCACGGGAAGCTGCCGGGATGTCCTGCTCTGCTGAGCCGGAGCCAAGTGGCTGCTCCGGGCTGCGAATCCCGACTGTGGTCACGATGGAGCTCGCCCAGAGCGGGATGTGGACCTGAGCACGAGGAGCTCGTGCTAGGAGTCCTCATCTTCAGCACAACCCTCCCCCGTATTGTCCCAGCAGCGAACGGAGCAGCAGCCACACGGGACACTTGGCACTTAGAGCAAGGCTGCAGCTGGAAGAGAGTCAAACAGCTCTCCAGGGGCCCCAGGAATAGCAGCTGGAGCAGGAAAAGCTCCGCGGGGCCACGAGGCTGCTCTGCAAGAACAGCCGGAGCGGCGGCCTCTCCTCTGCAGGCACCGGGAAGGTGCCCCGGGCTCCAGCGGTGGCTCCGGGATGGAGCCTGTGGATGGGCTGAGCAGGGAACGCCCGGCGGCGCTGCCGGGAATGTGGCTCCGGAGCGGGACCGGGCCAGGTGAGCAGCCGGGGCCACTGCCAAGATGTTTCCGAGCCGTGTGGCCCTGCCCTCGCCTGCTGCAAAGGGCCGGAGCGGAAGCAGCTCCTGGATCCTGGATTCCAGGAGAGCCCAGGGCCTTGCTGCTCTGCACCGGGAGACCTGGAGCAGCCAAACCATGTGCCAGACCCCAGGAAATGGGGCAGGGAATGGGCCAGCTATGAGCTCAACACCATGAAATCCCAGGCGCTCGGCTTGAACACGGCCCCCCGCCGCAGCCCCACGTCCCATCCGGGAACCGCTGCCACCCGGCTCCGTTCCGGGGGTCGGTCCCTTTCCCAGGCAGGTTCCTGGCCGGCTGGGCAGCTCCGGTGCGCTGCTCCGGAAGGGCCGGGTGGGAGTGCCCACAGGGAGGCAAATCCAGGCCCGGAGGCGGCGGGATGGATGCCGGCGAGGCCGCCGCGGAGCCCGAGGGCAGGCTCCCACAGGAGCCGCACGCTGGGAAAGGCAGGTTGGGAACGGGATGACTCAGGGCAGCCGCTCCGGCTGCCAACCCACGTTCCCACCCGGCAGCGCCGCTTCCCAGGGAGCCGCCTGGAGCACGTGAGGGTGCCGCACGGCACCACTGCTCCTGCTTCCCAGGCTGTGACGGGCTCTTCCCCGCTCCTCAAGATCCTGGAGTGGTTTCACGTATCCACTGTGAAAGCTGCAGCTCCCAGCAAGCCAGGCTGCTGGGGCGGGAATGCTCCCTAATTCCCAGCAGGCGCTGGGACCCAATTCCAAGCAGGGCAGCCCGTCTCCTGCTCGGGGCAGCTCCCAGGCTCGGCGAGAGCGTGAGCTCCAGCTCTTGGAGGGCCCCTTGGCCACCCTGGTTTCTCTCTTCCTGCCCAGAGCGGGATCATCGGTGCTCCGGAGGGAGCGAGGCAGGTAGCAGGGAGAGAGCAGGGCTAATTCCATAAAGGAGGACGGGGGTAAAAGCTCCCAGCAACGCAGGGAGAGCAACCGAGGAGCGTGTGGGATCCCGTCCAGCAGTGACGGGAGGATTCCGTCGAGGAATCACCAGCACGAGCGGCTCCCCCCGCGCCGCGCCAGGGCCTACCTTGCTCCGGAGCCTCCGGCAAGCGGCCGGCACCGGCAGCCGGCGCCGCGGGCAGCGGCCTCTGCACGCGGGGCCGGTGCGCGGGGACGGAGATCTTCACGGGCCCCACGTACTCCACGTAGGTGCCGGGGAAGTCTCCCTTCTGCTTGGTCCGCTCGTTGACGCCCAGGATCCACCCGATCTGGTGGGGCGCCTGCTCGTCGCCGTCCTTGAAGCCCAGGGCTTGCAGGGCGCCCTTGCTCACCACCAAGATGTCCCCGGGCGCCAGGTCAATGTCCTCGTCGCGCTCCTTGCGGTAGGGGTAGAGCGCGCGGTACTGGAAGCCGTCGGTGCTGCCCATCCTCGGCGGGGGGATCGTTGGCACCTCAGGGGCACCTCTCGCCCATGGGCTGCCGGCGGCTCTGCGCGAGGCGGGACCCCGGCGCGGGAGGCCCCGCGCACTTAAGTGCAGCCCCTTTTCCTGAGCTTGAAGCCACGATTCAGCCAAACGATGGAGCACAGGGAGAAGGAGACGAACATAATCCCGCACTTGGGAGCGGCGCCGCGGATGGGAAAGAGCGGCTGGGCGCGCCGGCCTCCGGGAAGGGCTTCTTGGAGTGCGGGCGACGCCGCGGCCTCCTGTTCCTCCTCCTTCCTTGCCAGGGCCTGCAAAGAGAGGAGCGGTCACTGGGCAGCCTGGAGCTTTGGTGGAGCCCAGAGGTTCCTTCCCACGGGAGCTCCGAGCGGGCGCTGCGCTCCGGAACGCACCGATTCTCCCCCAAAGCCAGAGGGGAGCTCATAGGGAGGCTCTGCAGGGAGGGCCTCTCTGGGACGCTCGCTTCCCACATCCGCCCGCTCCCTTCCGAGCGCTTGAGCAAACACAGGGATAACTCACGGGAGGCAACAGCCTTTTACGCAGGAACGTCGAGCTCCCCTTTCCTTGCCAAGCGGATCCATGGATCCGCCGCTCGCCTTCCCAGTGCAAGCGCTGTGGAATCGGCCTGTGGAGGTGCCCAGATGCCCCTTAACCCACTGCGACCGACTGCTCGGCTCCAGCAGCTCATCCGGGCGCTTTTAGCAGCGGAGCCGGGTGCGGAAAGCGATGGGGATGGAACGGGCCCCGCAGCGCCGCTCATCCCATTGGCACCAGCAATGCCCGGAAAGCAGGCGACAGTCCCGGCGCTCATTCCCAAGGCTTTTCCCGACCCCTCGCGGAGCCGTGCGGAGGGCGGGCGCGCTCGGCACGCAGCAGCCCATCGGCGGCCCGCGCGGCTCCGAGCCAGGCCCCGCACGGCGCCCGCGGAGCCGCTGCCAAGAAGATTCCAGCTGGGCCAGCTCCAGCGCCGCTCCGCTCGCGGGAGGGAGCCTCGTGCGTCTGCGCTCGCCGAAAAACCCCGGCTAAAAACGCCCGGTAAATCCAGCGCAGTGCCCGCAACAATCCCTCGATTCATTAGCGACTGTCAATACGTCCTTTGTTCCGCACACCCCTTCGAAACAACACCACCAACAACGCTACAAGTCTCTTTTTGTGCTTCCTTCTTTCTGTGCGTGTGCAGCAGAGAAATAAGAGCATCTTGCAGTCCAAAACGGGGCTCCTGCGCTTTCCTAGCGCCTCGCGCCTTCAGTTTGGAGCGCAAACAAACGCTGCTTCCCTTCCAGCGAGGGGAAAGAATGCACGAACTGCAGCAAAAATTCCTGCGTGCAAAGACCTACGCAGCTCCGATACTTCCCAGTTGCATCCAGATCTCTTGCTGGCAAGAAGATGCCAAATCGAACACGAAACACTGGGTGTTAATGGGCTGCAGACAATGGGGAAAAACCTTCCTTTTGCTAGCAAAAATACCCCCACAAACTCTAACCAAGCAAACAGGCAGAAAGACAACAGGACAATGCGACTAAGAGGGGAAACAGAAAAAAGGGACACCTGTCTGTGATGTTTTTTGACAGTTATTGCTGTTTTTTCTTCTGACCGTTGGTGCTTTAGGGGTGGTGGCACCAAGGGCTGCTGTCCCAGGGCCAAGGTGGCTCCCGGAGCTGTTTCCACCTTATTTTTCCCCAAAAGTCTCTTCTGCTGCAGCCCGATGAGCAGCAGTGTCCGGCTCCCAGTTTTCCCTGGCAGGGACGCCTGGGCTTGCATTTCTCCAGGTCTTTTGCTCTATTCCCTGAAGCCCAAGGAACTGAGGGAATATAAGGAGCATTCCATAGAAAAAGAAGCATTAAGGTTAGCCTTAAGAACCCGAGAAGGGGTCCTTAAGACCTAGGCCTGTCTTATCCCACAAAGATGCTTGGAGGTCTCCAAGGACAGGTCCGGGGCAACCTGGAGAGCCATTCCTGGACTCCTCCCGCTTGGAATTTTCTCCCGGTGTTGGATTTTTCGCTTCAGTTGCATTCCCTTAATTCCACCCTACTTGTTCCCTGGGACATCCGTACGTGAGCGGACGCCTTGAGCATTAACAGGACCGTTTATCAGGCGCTACCTGCAGCGGAGCCCCCAAACGAAGCAGCTTCCCGGGCGAGGAGCCCGAGCACATCCCGGCACCGGGATAAGGGCCAGAGAGAACCAGGACCTTCCAACATGGAAAACCCACCGCAGCTCCTCCATCCACGCTTCCATCTTCCATTCCTCAGTTTCGACACAGCCGAGCGGCGGCTCCGGCCATTCCCAGAGGAATTCAGAGACCCTCATATTATAAATACTCTTTTTTTCCCCGCTGCGAGCAGGCGCGCGCGGCCTGCCGCGGCTCCGGGCGGATTGCCGAGGCTCCCGGGGAGCCCCCGGGTCCCTCCCAGGGACGGAGGGGCGGCGAGGGGTCCCCTTCGGGAGCGGAGCCGCCGGGTCCCCCCGTCCTGCTCCCGCTTCGGGGATCAGGATCCCCCCTTGGAGCGGGGAGACGCGGCCAGGGCCGCCAGGCCCGAGGGGCCCCGGCGGACGAGCAGCCCCCAAACCGCGGGCGGGGGGGACACGACGAGGCGCGGACACAGCCCGATCCCGCGAACCGGATCCCCCGGCGCCGGTTCCGACCCACCTCAGCACCGGCCCCGGGCTCCGCTCCGCTCCAGCCTCAGCCCGGCGCAGCCTGGGAAAGGGCCCGAGCGTCGCCGGAACGGCCCGAACCCGTCCGGAAAGGCCCGAGCGACTACGGAGAGAGACGAACCTCCCCGAAGCGCTCGGTAGCCCCGCCCCCTCCCTCCAGGCGCTGCGGGCTGACGTCAACACCTGGCCACGCCCCTCCCGCCCGAAGCGCTCCGGAAAGAGCCGAGCGCGGCGGCGCCGCCTAGTGGCGGCTCTGGGGGCGGCGCCGCGCGGGGAGCGGGCACCGACACGGTACCGGTACCGGCACCGGTACCGGGCACGGGGTCCACCCGCCGAACAGAGGAGGCCACGCGGCACGTCGGATCGAGGAGCAATTTTAATGCAACACAAGATTTTTTCCCGCACAACCGCAAGCCCCGTGCTCGGCGCCGCCGGCTTGATCTTTTTCCGCAAAAATCCCGCTTTCCGGCACCGCGTCGCGCGCTGGCGGCGCTCGCTTGCGGGGAGAAGCCGTGCACATCCCGCGCGCTCCGTGCGCCAATTCCAGGGAACCGGCGGCCGAGCGGGGGAAAGCCCCTACATGCATTATCCAATGTAAACATTTACATCATAGAAAACATTAGAAACGGGAAGGAAGGATGCCAGGCTGACCCTTAATCCATTGGAGGAAAAGAGGATGAGGAGGGTGGAATTTAGAAATTATTACAAGAGGGAGGTTTAGAAACACAGATTGGGACCCACTTGGGGTTTTTTTTTTTCCATTGGAAAGTGGCTTTTCCTTAAGCCTTGGGAAGATCCGGGAATGGGAAAGCGCCGACCTGAGCCCTCCTGCCTCCCGTTAATATCTGCATCACGTTGCTGAAACGGACCCAGCCGCAAAGGCGACGGAGGGTCAGGGCTTTCCCGACACCTCTGGGTCCTCGGGAAAGATCCTGGAAGGATGAGCGAGCCGGGCGGCTGGGTATTTGGTCACCGCTGATTCACCTGCTTCTCTACAACAAAAATTTATGCCCTGAAATGTGCTGAACCTTTATGGAATGAACCCTCCTTAGAAAACGTGGACCGCGTTGTGTTTTCCAAAGAAAACACGATCCGAAGCCAATGGCAATCTGCTTCCGTGGGGCTCAGAGTGGAGCACCTGGAGCCCTGCAGCACCTGCAAAACGCCAACTGCTAAAAGTAAAAGTAAAATAAAAATCTGTTTTTTTTTCTTTTTTTTCTGTTTTTTTTTAAAAAAACCACCCGCCTAATGGCCACTATGAACTAAACACCAAAGGGACCTTCATATATAGCTCAGACCACTATTACTTGTGGCATTTTGCTGTAGGATTTTTGGTTCTTTTTGTATTAAGTTTTGTAAGGGAGATAAAATTGGGTGCTGAATCTCTATTAAAAATGTCAGGAAAACTCATCTTGGAACCACATTGGTCCTGCTTCCCGGCGGCGCGTGGAGCAGAGAACTGGGGGGGATTCAAGGGATTTAGGGAAAGGAAGGGCAGCAAGGCTGCAAGCTCGGCTTGGGAAGGGTCAGTAAAGCCCAAGGGCTCTTCCAGTGTCACCTCTGCTCCCAGGCCCAGGATCCTTCCAGAGTGGGTGCGAATTGAACATGTTAAAGGAAGAACAAAGACCTGCAACGTCTCAGGACAGGGAAGACACCGGCCCAAAGAGCAGAGCTGTAAGAGATCTCAGCTTAAATATTATTTTAAAAGCTTGTCTCGGAACCGGTTTGTCCTTTGGTGCTGGAAACACTGTTAATAAACGGGGAAAACTGAGTGGTTCTTCGCAACGTTAGAAAGCCAAGGGCCTTCCAGAGGTGGGCTAGGAAGCCCTTGGAAAAGGCTGGGACACTGCCAGCCGGGATGGGCTCGGACCCCTCGGGCAGCCTTGCAATGCCTCCGTTTAGCTTATAAAAGTAATAAATTAGTTACGATATTTGTACCAAGTCCTTTCTCTTCCCACAGGGCCAGGCCCCGCCGGGGAAACGCCGTTGCCGCAGGAAAAGCTCCCACGTCTCTACAAAAATATGGACATCTTTCCAGGTAGTACAAAAGCCTCCTGCGAGTGAAACCCCCGGGGGAGAAGAGTCCCTGCAGGGTGCGGCGGCACCTCCCTGCTCCGCCGGCACCGCGTCAGGCGGCGGCGCCGCCGCTCGGGTCCGGCC